TTTTCAATACAAACGTCAAGTCAGTTCTTCTATACGGATCAGAATATTTCCAACAGCCTGTTGCAGACCTTTATCAACAACTGTCTTCGCTCTATACACTGAAGATCAGATGGCCGGAAAGAATCACCAACAAGAAACTATGGGAACAAACAAAACAAGAACCAATCGCCCAACAAATATGCAGGAGAAAGTGGAGATGGATTGGACACTCGCTGAGGAGGCCGCTGGGTGACATCGCGCGTCAGGCCAACGCTCGAGTGGAACCTGAAAGGGAAGCGGTGAGTAGTGGGACGTCCAAGGGTGACATGGAGGAGATCGTGTGAAGAGGAGCTGAAACAGTATGGACTAACATGGATGCAGGTGAAAAGTACAGCAGAAGACAGAAGCAAGTGGAGACGTGCAGTTGAAGCCCTATGTTCTACTAGGAACCCAAGGGAACAATAATAAAATAAATTAATAGGAGACCAGGGGCGTCTGATATTTTGAGGACGTCATGTAGCGCCATCGTAACTGATTTTTGTGCCTCATTCACGTGTCATTTCCTACTTTCACATCTCACATTTCTGTTCCTCATGTGACCACCTTCCGACCGCCAATCCACTTTGTTATTCTCGAGCCATAATCTTGACCGTAAACAATATTACATATCTGGAAATAACCCGTGACATTATTTTGCCGATTTCATGGTGATGGCATCACTGTATGCTGGTGGGTACTCAACATCAGTCCCATTAGAAGCTCTGTCGAACTTTTCTTTTTTTCTGACGTCGGCATCGTGTGGTATCCAAAGAGGAAGTGTTGTGTAGTTTTTGGTGTAGTTCTTCCCTCTGCTTCTACTGCAGCTCTCTTGAAGGTATCCATTAAACTCCTCTACTTGTCCATAAGGCTGGCTGATAAGGGAGCGTCTGCACCCATGATACATCGTTTCTTCAGTGAAAATCTTTAAATATTTGTTGAGTGAACTGATTACCGCCGTCGGAGATAATGGTCTCCTGAATGCCATGGTATGCAGAGCTTTTAGATAATGCTTTTGTGACACGACTACTCGAAGGCAGAGGCAACTGGCGCTATTTCTAGGCACTTTGATTAAGCATCTACTAGAATCAAATAATGAACACCATTAACCTGCCCAGCGAAGTTCAAGTGTGGTCGCGACTATGGCTGCAATGGCAGCCATACCTTCAGTTGCTTTCGTGATGGGCTTTTGACAGGGGCTTGACGTAAGCGGCACCAACTCATGGATTCTGCCATATCAGTAAACATAACTTCTGGTGACACATTTCAAGTGCGCGATTCCTGGATGCCCATTATGAAGCTGTTTCAGCATTGTTTTTCGCAGTGTCGGGTATTACCACTCGTTCCGCAAACATTAGGCTGTTATCAATGATACTGGGACTGTGATCTTGGCGAAATAGTTATTTGAGGTCATGTTTTGGGGCAGATACTGGCCAGAAACTTCCAACGACGCTCATAGCTTGTTGAAGAGTCTCATCTCTTTCTGTAGCCTGTCTTATTTGCTCTTCTGCAATCGGCTGCCGCTTAATGGTGCACGCCAACAAATTCTGTGCTTAACTCTCTGTCATTGAGGAAGCAACAACCGTTTCATCGTTCGATGGAGGATAGACGCTAATTAGTCGTAATAGAGAATCTGCGTGGCCAAAACCTTGTGTGCGGCTACATTTTATATTGAAATCGTACCCCAGTAATGCCACTGCCAACCACTGTAGTCTGTTTACTGAATAAACTGTTACACCTTTCTTTGAACGAAGTACAAAAAGTGAGTCTTGTGGTCTGTCAGCAAAGTGAATATCCTGCAAAATGGTGGCGGCACTCTTAATACCAAAAGATAGCATGTTGTATTCAGATAGTCCTCGATGGCTGTTCACGGTTAACCACTCATGGCACCCCTCTAAAAATCCGACCTGCAAGAATTCGTCAACCAAATCAGTTTAGGTTAAAATGATCCCAACATTTTATTGCTATATAGGTCATCTGGAGTAGGTAATTCTAGGACTGCATTTAGGCTTGTTGGGAAATGGGAAAAGTACGAATGAAAGCATTTGCTTTCTTGATGACAATAATAGGGGCCGCTCATTATGAGTGGTTCCCCAGAGCAATGACTCCGGCTTCTTCTAACCTTTTCAGATCAGCTTCCACCAGCTGTTGCGAGTCGTAAGGGACGGGCCTTTTTGGGCAAAAGCCTGGTGTGGCGTTGGGTCGTAAACCTAAGAGTGCTTTCATTGTCTTACAAATTCTCACTTCCTGCTGCAGTTAAGACTTGAATTCTTGAGGTAGTCTTGACGAATCCTTCAATTCAGCTCTGTTGCGTATGCATTGGAGGTAGATTTCTGAGAGCTGTAGGCTTTCAAACTAGTCCAGACCAAACAAATCCAGGTTTGAATTACTTACAAAAACTGTGCCGATAATATAGATTTCACGGAATCCGACGCTGCACTTCAACTGCGCGGTCGAAGGAAGTTTTCCATTACATGCACTAACTGCTGCCTGATCTGCCTACTGACCAGTGGGGCATCTCAATGTTTCAAGTAACCCCTTTGATATTGTTGTCACACCAGATGTCGTGTCTTTTTGTAGACGTGCTGGATCTCAGTTGACTTCCACCTTAATGTATTCACGTGGAGCAGGCGTGCTGATGTGATAAGTAGCCGTGATACTCATAGCTTTCGGCACTGGTTGTCCACAGGATGGGCTTCTGGACTTTGGTGGGTGAGTCTGCAAACGATATCCATCTTTGTGTCCAGTTGTGCGGCATCGTCAACATTAATTAGGTTTGTGTGGATATGATCTTACATAATGCCAAGCCTCATGATGCCGGTATGCTGAAGTCGAAATCTGCTGCGGATGATGCGGTGAGTTTGAGGTCGATGGTTCTGGATGCAGCTCGACTACTTCGGCTACATTATGGCCGCCAAACTGGATCTATATGGTATCTTTATGAAGGTTGGTAAGTCGCTGATATTCTTCACCGATGTCTTTCATCGTCATTTGCAAGTCATGCTCCAGTCAGTTCAACAATCGTGTTCCTATGTCGGGGAACTTGGAAGACTGCAAGCCACAAATGAAGATAAGAACAGTGAATTGGTCTTCTGTTAGCGACTTTAACTTGAATCGCTCACATTGCTAATTTACAGTACCAAGTTGAGTGTGAATGTCGCCGTTTTCGTTCAGTATGAGTTCCATTCAGTGGTAACGAATGTTGAACAATGGTCTGTGGTCACTAGCCAGCTGAACGAGTGTTCGGACAGTCCCAGCGAATGTTCCGTCGCTGGGGGTCTCTGGAAGAGTGAGGATTCAGTATTTATCCCACTCAGAAGCACTCAACTTCAACAGTAAGAGTCTAACTTTCTATGCATCAAGACAATACGATACCATTGAAGCAGGGACTCAAGAAGACAAGGAGAGAAGAGAGACTGTTGATGTAGAGAGTTTTCGGTTTCTCGTATCAACAATAAAAATGGTTTACAGTACTTGCGTATGTATATATGCCTTAAACTACCTTGAGAGACATTAACTACACTGAGAAATTAAATCGGTCAATAGCCTATAGAATTCCAGCAGAGTCGGAGAATGCACATTGTCGAAGTGGGCAAAACGGTCAATTTTGATCGGCTAAGACGTGGGTAAAATGCAGCATAATTTACCCATTTTGCCCATACTGGTCATGGGCTCGAAAAATTTTCACGTCACACGTTTTTCCTATTTCACGCACACTACCCACGATTTTAGTTATTTATCCCATGTATGGAAAGCCAAAATTCACCCACTTTTCCCACTTTGCCCATGTGAGGACAGAAAATAGCTCAATTTTTCCCACTTTGCCGTTTTTAAGCAGAAAAATGCCCACAGATACTAAGTCTGAAAAAATTCTCCGACTAGGAAGGTTATAAGTGGGGAGTATTTTTAGGAAAATTTAGCCTATATAACAAGGTACAATCGAATTGTAAGAGTACACAGACTTCTCCTAATAGATGAATTATTATGTTTTTGCAGTATTCATTTACGCATAATGCAAAAAATACATTTTCTAAAGTGACGTCTGAATCAAGAGGGATATCATAATGGAAATGTTTCATCACTGACACGTGGATGTATTTTGGCTGTGATTAGAAAGCCTAACACTCCACTGTATGCTCATTTCTGTCACCGAATTGCAAGTTGTTGAAGAATGTAAAAATCTCATCCTTGGATGTAGACACTTTTGTCATGTTATTAACCTACAAGTGTCCATTATGCTTAACCAATAAAAATCTATTTGGAGTAATTCAAGATTTCTTCTGAGAAATTTAGAACGAAAATGATTGATTAACTTTTCGACTGCATTAACCATACATCAAATTTAAGCACAAACTATTGACAGCAGGATTTATCTAAGGCATAGTGGTATTGGTGGGTTACACTGATGAGTAACAAATTATAAGCTTCAGATTGTAGCGGTAGGTGATTCCTCAAAATTATTAGCCACAGCACTCATCAATGAATATTGGGCGCTGACGTTCACTGTTTAAGTCGATTTGTTTAGCTGAAGGCTTACAATCAAGCATGCACGCCATTTGGCACACCGATATGTTACGTTCATTCGTTCGTACACGATCCCTAGCTAGCTAAGCAATCATCTCGCACTCCGATATGGTCTCGAAATATAATTCGTAATATGGACGATCAATTCTGTCGTTTTGGTTTGGCTTTGGTCTACGCGGAACGAATACTATAGAAGTTGTGGGTATTAGGTCTTGCGTTAGTATACTTCATACTATCCGTGAACGTCAATCCCTTCAGCCTCTAAAGTATTAATTCAAATAATGTGAGTATCATTCATGCAGATTTGGTATGTTTGAAAAAAAGGGAAAAGTTTCACAGTTTGATCACTTGGAACCAATGAAGTAATATCTTTGAAATCCTTTCAGAACCTCTTAGCAGAAGAGACCAAACATCCAAGATGAATCATATTTAAAAGAAAAGTAAAGTAACGTAACTTTTCTTTACACCGATATTAGCTATCAAATGATTTGTCAAGTGTTCTCAGCTGAAGACATACTTAGTTCTGATTTGTCTTCTCATTTGTGCCAAGCGACTGCCTCATTTTCGACAGAATCCAGGTCCTGTGAACGGTTTCACATTCCAGTTCAATCTTAAAAGGGCAAGAAGAAAGAAGTTTAAGAAGAGCAGTATGAACTGGTTGTAATGTCTTACACAATAATGTAAGTGACGAAAAGTATTCATGGAAGTTTGATAACAATCAATAACAAAAGGGTGAAATGTCATCATGATCTCATCACAGCTATCAGGCTGCATTTGTTTCCCTTCATCTGAACAGTATTCACCTCACCTAGTCTCTCTCTCTCTATTTAAATAACTTGCCACTGCTACCAGAAGCAGCTGTAATCGAATTGAAACATACTCAAAGCTGAAAGACTTACTGATTTCATATTCTCAGAAATGTTGAAATCCATAAGAAGCAGGATTGATGATCCTCATTATTATTATTGTTCCTTCGGGTTCCTAGTGGAACATTGGGCTTCAGCTGCACCTCTCCACTTGCTTCTGTCTTCTGCTGTACTTTTCACTTGCATTCATGTTAGTCCATACTGTTTCAACTTCTCTTCACACGATCTCCTCCATGTCACCCTTGCACTGAAGAACCAATCGCCGCTTCCCTTTCGTGTTCCACTCGACCGATGGCGTGACGAGCGATGTCACCCAACGGCCTCCTCAGCGAGTGTCCAATCCATCTCCACTTTCTCCTGCATATTTGTTGGGCGATTGGTTCTTATTTTGTTTGTTCCCATAGTTTCTTTTTCGTGATTCTTTCCGGCCATCTGATCTTCAGTGTATAAAGCGAAGACAGTTGTTGGTAAAGGTCTGCAACCTGTTGGAAATGTTCTGATCCGTATAGAAGAACTGACTGACTTGACATTTGTATTGAAAATTCGGAATTTTGTTGTTGATGCAGGCTGAGTGACGAAGATTTCCAGCTGTAAGTGGAATGAATTTGGCCTACCCATATAGGACAACTATGAAGGTGTTATTGCGGTATTAGTGAGTTGAGTAAGCAGATTTCAACATTCACAGATTCAAAACTGGAAGCAGTAAACTTACTGTGAATGTCAACATTCCACGTGAATCTTACTTCGAAATCACAATACGTAGTGAATCACCTGTCTAGTGTTCGGAAAATGTCTCTGTGTGCAATGAAGTTAACACAGACGACTCTGCAATTAGATACTCCTGTCATTTCCAATTAGTTCATATTACTTTGAGTCAGATAAGACATTAACCAGTATGTGGTGAACTCGCACAAGTGAGTGAATTTCACTCTGACTTTCGCTGGTCAACATCAGTTACTTTGCATAGATGGTCATGACAGGTTATTCTGAAGTTTCTTGGAGATGTGTCTTGAAAACACGCTTGAAATGATTTCATGTGTTTACAAGCATTAATTGTTATTCAGTTGTATCTCATTTGATAATTCAATAAGTCAGAGAATCGAGTTTTGTTCACACACCACACGAATTACTTCCATTTCTGTCAGCAGTCTACTTTCAGTTAGTGTTGAATGCATGAGGATATATACTACTGATAAACAGGTAGAAGTGAGTAGCTGGACGATATGCATACCGATCAGTAGTGTGGCGAAGTTCTACAATAGCGTCCCAAGGTTGTAAATGTTCCAATGTCCTTGTGAATGTTCCAATGACCTTGAACGCATGCCAGTTATTGGTTTAGGAAGTTACCATCATTCTACCGCGAAGATGAACGCTGTTCACCTACTGAGATGGCAATTCCACCCAGATCACGTATTTCAGTACTGTCTGGATAATGGATTAATAGCACGTACACGTTTATGTACTTGTGGTGCTTCTATGAACCTGCAATCGTATTCACAGGCCATAGATGGATATGTCTTTATGTGTACACATTGCAGAAAACGAATAAGCGTTCGTAATGGTAAGTGACAGTCTCAGTTAATTGTTTTCTAGGGACTTTCTTTGAAAAATCGAAACTCCCTTTGACGAAAATCCTGTTCTTGTGCAATTATTGGCTTTTTAAATCCGGAGTGAGGTCAACAGCCGCTCAGACAGAAAATACTCTTACATCTACTGTTCAATGGTTTCAGTTTTGCAGAGATTTAGCGTCATGGAAGATGAATAATATTACTCAAGTTTTGGGAGGAGTGGGTGTTACTGTTCACGTCGACGAAACAGTGCTCATAAAGAAGAAATATAGTCGTGGTCGTGCTAGAGCCAACAGCGTTTGGGTATTGGGAATTTATGATACCCAAATTCGGAAAGGATTCATCGAATTGATTCCAGACAGAAGTGCGGGCACTCTGGTGCCTATTATTCAGAGGCTTGTTTTGCCTGGCACTACCATACACACCGATGAATGGGCGGGATATAACCAGTTATCGCAACTCGGGTATATACATCATAGAGTTAACCATTCCCGTGATTTCGTTGACCCTGTCTCCGGAACGCATACCAATTCCATCGAGGGTTTTTGGGGAAGACTGAAAAATCGAATCCGAGCCATCAATGGATCACAAAACGAAGTCATTTTCAGTCATTTGGATGAATACATGTATAGAAATTGGTTTAATTTCAAAACTGAAACTCCTATTAATAATTGGAACATTTTTTTAACTCATATTAGAGAAAAGTACCCTGTTTGATTTTTTTCATGCTTATTTATGTAAAAATACGTAAAATTTTATGCAAAAATCATCCTTTTTTCTGATTGGTCGGTTCAAGGTCACTTGTGCGTTCGTTCACTGGGACTCTATTGTAGAACTTTGCCAGTAGTGTTTACTTGTCATATCAAATTGACGTAAACATTGAATAGCCATTTCACTGGCTTTGTGACGAGTTTATCAGAGGTGTATCCAGTGTGAATCAACTCAGAGATCCGAATCAGTTCTGACCAATCGAAATCTAACTAGCCAATAAGACGAACTTGTAATCCACTGGTTCACATTCATCGGGAAATCTCAATTGATTTTTTATGTGAAAGTTATTTAGTTCGATATGGTATTTCAACACAGCTTCCTTCAAAAACCAAAATTTATCAGATCATAAAGTATGTGTGATCCGCTTGATACCATGAATTGAAGTCAATAAAGCAAGCATATATCAATACAAAACTGACTGACTGATCGGTATGACCAGTTGCACGGAACTCACACTAACCAGATATGCCTCCTCAACTGATTTAAACTCGACGCACCATTGCTGAACCCAGCAGCACAAAATAAGTGAAACGACCATTGGGTGTTTGCATCAATTTGACCTCGCCAACAAGCTAAACTGTTCGATGTGAGCAGTGACCAACTGATCGATCACTCGTATCGATCAATCAGCAGCACATAGCATCATGCAAATATGCTTGCCCTCTTGATTGCTATTTAATCTTACCAAGATGGTATACACTTTTGTCCTGAAAAATTGCCAGTCCCAGGGAAACTGCGATTAAATTTGACCTCAACATGCGTACACTCCAAGTAGAGTGTTAATCTACAAATTTCGAATAGTGTTCAATGTTGAATTCGATTTCCACACTTTATCCACTGACAAATCTCTAACAAATAAATGTGTCAGACGGGTTTGTCTGTGTGTGTGTGTGTGTGACGTTGACTGGAATACTCGAAATGTATATTGAAGCAGTACGGTAACTCTGTCAAAGAAATCACTTCTGCTTACGGTGTCATAAACGTCAATTAACTGTGAGTGGGCTAAGTGTCATTAGTCAGTCAGTAGGACAGATATTCACTACTGAATACTGCAGTTATACTACAGTTATGAGTACACTCGTGACATCAACTTCTGTTATTCGGTTTGTTCTCACCCACCATGTGCAATTTTAGTTTTAAATTTTATAAATGAAAATAAGCAGCTTTCACTCACAGTATCATTTGACAATGGAGCCTCTTCAATCTCACTGAAAAACCATAAAAGTCGCTTGCATCAATTGACCAAAGACGTTCAGCAGCTACAGCAGTTATCGGCCTTTGACATGTTGTCAGCGAAGTTATTCCATTTGATATGAAAGTAAAATTAAATGTGCTTGTAATACATGTCAAGGATGAAATGGTTGAATGGAGTTCTAAGTAGAGAAGTAGATTCTGTGCACAGTGAACAACCGTAAATGTGTCTTAAACTAGAGATCAATGAGCCCCTCGTTTCAATGGTATGAGTGAGTTCCAGTTTGTTTCGAGATAATTTTGTGATGGCCTCGTACTTTGAGCAAAATGAATTCTTTGTCAAGTAGCATGAAACATGATCGATCGCTTTCTAGTTTCGTAATACGGATTAGATTGTGCCATTCAAGTTTCCAGTGATGGTGTATATCTGAAATACTGGTGTTAGTTGTGTTATTGCTCAGTATAATCTCGAGATTGCAGATACCCTTTAATTGCCGATTTTATATACTACTGTTTGATCAATGTGAGTAGTTTGATATATAATTATAATATTAATACAATATCAAATGGATGGGAAAGTCCCAGAACAATTTCCTAATTAATACAATATTAATAGTTTTATTCAGAAGAGTGTTGATATACTGTGCAAAATTCTCAGCAGAATATATTGCGCAACCCATTGCCTTCGTCTGGCACCCTCAGGTAAAATGGTAATTGATGATAGCAGATCGTGTGGTGTACTGTCTTCTGACCTGAAGCAATCACCAATTCCTTATGATATTTATTCTTCATCTCCTTAGAGAAAGGCATGACATTCGGTTAAAAACCAGTTGAAAGAAGTCCACGAATACAGTTTGTCACAACATAAGACATAACGAAGACAAAACTGAATGACTAAAGCCTTCAGGTAGTTAGTTTCATTTCCCAGGGAGTGGCGGTGTTTGTGTGCTTAAAATGTCAGAAACAGTTATCGAATCGGCCAAGTTTTAACTGTGAGTCCCAGTAAGTGCCAACGGACAAATGACCCTGAAAGCACCAACCACACGGTAATGGGAATTTCGCTTATAACAACGAATATATATATTCATGAAAGTAATGAATTAAAAGGCATGAAACCGTTACGCAAACCAGCTTACCACCCTCTGTTATGTGACAAAATACCTTTCAATGTGGGATTGGAGTATCGACAGAGTAATTTAAGCATGTTTCATGTATGTAATTACCTTGGTCTTCTAACCCTAATAACAACAACCCTAATCTTTCCCTAACCTAACCATATGGTGAAAATATCCCTACTTGAACTAACTCTTATCTATCTCGAACAAACCCTAATGTCACCCTTATTGTGCTAACGTATTCCTAACCTGTCCTTAGCCTAAAGCATAATTTTCTTTTTCCAAAACTTTAACTGAAACTTGTCAGATATCCCATTTAGTAGCATAACACTTCATCAGGCATACTACCTAATTCATGATTCCAGTATTATATGCCAGGTGTCATTAACTTAGATTTAGACATTCACGAGAACGATTAATATAACCAGAGGTCATATTTCTATAGATCTGTGCAACAACTAGATCCGCTCCAACTGCATTTTAAACATTGTCCGCTTATTTTGAAATTATTCACACGACAGTCATTAAGGTCATTTTCATCAAAGTATAGTATAGTAGTGATATAATTCAGCAGTGTCAAGCACACATCACAGTTCTTCATAAAAATCTACAAGAATTTGACATTCTATGAATCAATCATGTTTAGTTCTAACAGCAAATTAATTGCAAAGTCAATATTCAGTCAATCTTGAATGATTGATACACATGAGACCTGAAAACACGCTGTCCAGCACACTGATTACATATGCGTATCGTTAATTGCTTACCATGATCGTAGAAAGAGATTCGTGTCATCCACATATGTTCCCCAGATGATGACTTCCCCACCAATAACCAACTGAGCTTCTTCCTCAGCACCTGTTTACAATGAGAAGAAACACAATCAGTCGTCAGTATCACAAACATTGTCAGAGTAAAATATCCTTCAGTGTCATCATAAAATTGTCTTCCAGACACTTCGGCACAATAATTGTGAAAATGTCCTGTGTGTTCATCTGTGGGCATGTGGAGGGATGTCAATGCTCTACCGCTTGTCTATTCCACAATTCTCCACTCCAATCTTACTTATACACAGTACAGTTCAGATCGTCTTGTTTAATGAATTCTACTGTATCTCATGCAGAATATCAACCCCCTACAGTCGTGTCTGAATTATCATCCATTCCACGCTCCATTCACCGCTACAGATTATCGTCTGATTCCACTCAATTGTATACACATGGATTGATACAGTGGCAGTTTCTCACGTCGATAATCGACAAGTGTCAAATGTCTACCAGAAGCCTACCATCTGTCATTAATTTTATACGGGATTTACAATTTATTCATAAATAACATCAAAACTACCTCCAAATGCAGCAGGATCACAATCGTACAATGTCTTCCATGCATCATCGAAATTCCCAACAACTTTCGACCAACACGCTGAATTGATCACTCTGTATCCAGATGATGTGACTGACTTGGTGACAGCTTCCCAGTCGGAATTATCGTGTACTTGTATGATGACGGCATTTTCATTACCCTGGTAATTTAAAACACGAAATATTAACACTATTTAAATGATCATATGTGTGAGATTGGTATTTCGGAATTCATCTATCTCTGTGTCAATAGGATTCTTTCAAAGCTTTAGGATAGTGCCTGTTGCCTCATTCCTTCTCTGTTTACTGGCATCTTCTGGTCCATTATTACTCTTTTCATTTGTGCTCAGTTACATGCTACTCGTCAAAATAAAGTAGTACACGCTCATACTTTGTATAATTTACTTCCATCACTCGAAAAGAATTAGTCATTACCATGTTTCACCGTACGTCCTTGTGAATGTCTATATTCGACTATTTCTGATTAATTTTGCCTCACTGTGTACAGCCGCGCGTTGTTTATTTCTGACTACACCCAGAAGTGACTTTTACACATCTCTACTGCTTTCCTTCACCTACACCGTTATGGTGCTTTGACCGAATTTAACCTGCACACCTCACAATTCAACTTTTCGAAGTTGTGTTGGTCTTCTTATCTGTAATATGGTACAAAGTTAAAGGAGAGCTATCCAAGCAGAGCAAACGTACCAATGAATTCGCAAAGACCAACATCATAAAGGAGAGGCGTTTTAGTGCCTAACTCAACACTAACCCCAATCTACAGCTAAACTACCCTGCCCTTATCCTGCCTAACCCTAACCTATGCCTAACCTAGTTCTGTCCTACCACCTCCCTCTAATGAAAGTTTATATAAAGCGGGTATCATGTTTCATACTTTCACACTCCTCTTGTCAATTCGTTATGAGTATAACGTCATTTATATGAGTTCACACATTCACTGTAGTTGCCAGTTTTAATGTCATTGGCGCCTTCGTTGTCTAACCTTTCGCTTTCTGAACAAATCCATATAAGCCAAAGATTTCATTTATTCAAACAAAAGTTTAGTTACGGCTTATCGCACAGGATCTCTTGGAAGAAATCCACACTACTTAGTTATCACTATTGGTAATTCACCACACCACCTCATGTATATGTTGAATCAAGTGATTTCAGATACAACAGTCAGGTGTGGGTGCTTGGACACTTAAACCGATACACTTCCATATCGTAAGACGTTAAACGATTTTGATGACAATAATAGTGATCTACTTATTTTATATTACCCCCAATTCCGCGTATCTTAAAATAACTAGTAACACGAGGTTTAGATTCCCAGTATTTTTGAAGATTAAACTCTCATTGGTTGGTACGTTTTCAACCTATCAGAGAATGCATTATGTATCCAGGTCATATAAAAGCTATGCATATGGGATCACGGTAGTGTCTGAATATTGTTGAGGCAGTGCAAACTCTCCTCCAGCAGGGCACCTTCTCCCGCATGTCGTCTTTTGGTGATCTTACTGTTGTGTTGGTGGAAATAATTAACGTTATAATGAAGGATTAGGTTGTGGTGGCTGTACTCTATGACCGATCAGATCAAGTCACTTCCTATAAAGCGATCGATAAATACAAAATAGCTGAGGTTCATCTCAGGATGCTAATTTCATATACTCGATAAAGTTACGTCATTTTGTCTCACATTGAAGTCAATCATTCGAAGTGTTAAGATTTAAGATAATAAATGGAATAAGTTTTCGAGTGTCCGGATTGTAGCAAGGTGTGAAAATATGGACACATTTTTATCCTCCCAAAACTATTTCTCAACATTTTTCACGTGTGCTTCCAAACAACAATTAAGTGCACAGGCGAACACATACAAATACATTTAGAATGAGATGAGTAGTCAGTTGGGTCAATGGAATGACATGAATATATTTCCACCTGTTCACTTCTAAATGATCTGCTTGTTTCAGTGTATTGTAATCATACTCTGGAAGTCAGTGTATATATTCCTACAAATCACACTTCTGGTCACTTCCAATCACATTCAATCAGGCTTGCTAACTGAGCAATGTTCACTTCAAGATGAGGGAATGACAGCGAGGATATTTATGCATTCCTTACACCACTCAACTCTCTAAGTCTTCCATTTATTGACTCACTTAGATTCACTTGGATCAGTGATACTATGTAACAATAAGGCAGGATGAGGATGAATAGAAAATACTGATAAATCGATGAAGTTCCTCTGGATACAATTGCGAGGTGGTATATTTACTGATTCATTAATGTGATGAGAGATCTGCTGATATCCTTCTTCTGGCCAAGTTAAACTTTAAGCACCAGTAACTGCCAATCAGCGAACGACGTCGATTTATCCAATGAGATTCACGAACGTAGTTCAGTGTTGTATAGCGCTTGATTCATTTCAGTGCGTGCCCTTACATGGTTACGTTTGCAATTCGAGGAGGTTAGTGTCTTTCAGCATTTCCTGGACTTAGGCTTGCTTCTAAAGGAGAGAAGTTGTTCGTGTGGTGGTATAGTGACTCGAAAAAGCTATACTTGGTCAACTGATGGTTCTGTACATCGTTGTGGAATTTGCTGGAAGCGAGTTATTATAAGAGAGGGTAATATTTCGTAGGAAATTGTTTTGCTAGGTCGCATCTCTCCCTAACCCAGATTTTGTACATTTGTAATTACTGGGTACTGAAACAGCCCGTGAGAGCCGCTGCTGCCGAGACGGAGAACAGTTGAAATGCTATGATTCATTGTCATCCCTGGAATACATTCATCACAGAGTGAACCACTCCAGTGATTTCGTGGATCCAGTTACAAGGCCTCATAAAAATTTCACTGAAGGATTTTGGGGTCGATTGAAAAATAGAATAAGGGCTATAAATGGGTCTCAAAAGGATCTCATTTATAGTCATTTAGATGAATATATGCATAGAATGTGGTGCGACTTTTCTATTGACAGTCCGATGCTGAATTGGGAAATGTTTCTATCCCATGTTCGTGAAAGATACCCGTTGTAATTGTTTTATCCTATTTTTTATTCATTTTTATATGAATATACATTACCACTTATCATAAACGCCTCTTTCATGTGATTGGTCCGTTCAAGGTCACTTGCTGATTGGTTGTTACTGGTGCTTAAAGTTTAACTTTGCCCTTCTTCTGTTCACTGTATTTATGATCTGCCTTGAAATTCACACGCTCAAAATATTCCAAATTAAAACTAAATACCTGATTTGGTTATTTAGGTGAGAATAAAACTGCATTAAGTTATGAACAGCAATCGAGAATTGAAGAATACTTACTCGGAATCCATTCTCAAATACATTCTGCCACACCACAGTTGTCACACTTTGTGACTCTGACGTCTTAATATTCTGAACAACTTCTGTGAGGTGTTCAAAATAATAATTTTCTAATTTATTGTAGTCTTGATCGAATCCTTTCTGTTTCATGAATTCTTGGATGTTGGCGTCTTCTTGCCTACACACAACAGAACAACATGTTTCTTGTTAGAAATGCATGTAACCTTCTACAAATTGAGTCTACTGACATTCTTTTATGAATAGATTGCTACAGTGACAGACTAAGGGGGATTCGAATGTGTTGGCTGTGTAATCGTGGAACAATGAAACTACTTCTTGTCTTTCAATAGACAAAGACACCAGAATAGAAAGTCGGTCAAGCGTTTCATGGTGTGCATGTGACGAAGTAAAGGGAAACGCACATCTAACGCATCAATAGGCATGGATGAATGCCAATCTACTATCATTACTTCCTATAAAAGATAGATTGAACTTACAATAACAAATAATATTGGAGCAGAATTTAGGCACTATGCTAAAGTATAATTCCATATCAGACAAGTTGACTCGATACAATACACCGTAATACTGTCTGAATCATTAGATGATGATGTTTCGAGCACAGTTTATTTGTCTATGTTGTTAATATTGAATGAATGTCTAATGACCTGGGATATTCAAACTGGTTTCCTTTCCACTGGAGGTTACAATGCCTACTGTGCTCTAGTTGCTTGCTGTACATCAGAAGATTTGAACAATCCGATCAGAAGTATTACTGATATCTGTTTATAGCCTCTGAAGCTGCAGCATTTGACGCTGTAACATTTTGAAGCTTTAACTGTTGGTACTGAGAGTTTTCGCGCTGTAACTATCTTGTTGTGCTGATTTATTGTCAGTGGAACAATAAACAATCTCCTGGATCGCCAATTTGTTTCCTGACATTTTCGAGTTGGCTTAGTTCATAATTTCCTGAATACATCTATTGGTCTTGTGGCAACATCACCAGCTTGGTTTGAGGGTCTTTGAAGCTGGTACATTTACGTTGTTCTATGTCAAAGTCACATCTATGCATTCACACAAAGTTTGAGAGCTTACTTTATTTAGGTATAACCCAAGGTAATTATACTGTAGTATTCCCTATATCAGGGATAGCTGATATGTGGTTTGAATTCGTACTGCTTTTAGATTTATGGCTGCCATTGTAGAAAGTCAGTGTGACTATTCTAACCCTTAACAGCAGATCCTAATCTTATTCTTCCAAACCATTTTGGAAATGTGAGTTTTGAGAAGTCTTATGAAATACTCAGAAAAAATCTTTGTTGAACAGTCTTCCCCTATTTTATGATCGTCGTATTTTTCATCAAGTGTTTTAGATGTCATCGACAAGGATAACACGCAACTCATGCCGGTATAATCAGTTAAAAGTCTAAAGTGTTGAAGTCACCTCCATTATTTGACAGTCACTTCAAATATTAGTCATACATTTCATCTCTACGGGCACCTAATCGCAATAGCTCGTACGCACCTCTTGTAACGGATTAAATACAACTCAAGAATATCTTCTCAAACGGTTAGCTGTGAACATCAACGTCTTGTAAATGTAGTAGCGTCGAACAATGCATGGAAGATACATATGGGAAACGCGAACATAGAAAACATCTAGTCATATTCCCTTTTCTCACATGATGAAAAATCGCCAAATCTCATTAAATTCCTTGTAGAAAACCATTCAGCCATATACGTTTGTACAGAACTAATGACACACATCAAAAATGTCAACACACTTACCATGAGTGCCTGTCGTAGATGCTTCCACCTAAATGTAAGACACGGTCAGGAAATACACTCAACACTTCGCTGAATAAATTTGATAGAAATGGCCAGACATTCTCATCGACTGGATTGATTGGTCCGTCATGTGATTCACCCGAGAGTATTTCAGGATGACTTTTGCCCCATGATACAGTGTGACCTGGATGACAGAAAGAAAGATATGTGACAGACAGCTTGTTACCTTCGTGCAAACATTAAATGAGCACACTATAAATTATTTAAATTAATCTCAGCGTGTATAAGAAATTTTCGAAACAAGATTTTTCTGAATGTTTTGCTGTGTAAGCCACAGCTTCTTCAGGAGAATTATTCGGATCTTTTTAATTAATGGATGACTAATGAATCAGTCTGACTTGGCGCATGAATTATTCCAGGAAGTTCGTAACATCTACGGTCTGGAAACTTATAATCAAATGAGTTTATTTCACTGAATCTCATACACTGCTTGCTTAGATTCGAATGTCAGTCACCATAGCAGATTGTTCTACGAAATACGCTTCTGTGTGTGACTTCGTGGTCCAGTTATTAGTGTTTCAGGCGCTTCATCCTTGAGGTGACGTAGAACATCTTTGAAATATATTCAGAGGTGCTTATCTCTATGCAGTTAAATTACCAAATACCAGTATTAACTGTCGGAGAATGGTATCTATTGAGTATGTAATCGGTTTTCCCCAAACCAAAATTTGTATTCCGGTGCTCCTATCTTCAGGCACATATTATTTCATTTTTATAAACTAGAGGTATCTCACACTTGTCTGCAGTATTCACAACTTTTGATGACTTTCGTGAATGAGGCTGGTAAATTGTATCACTTTTCAGCAATTAAATTTGAATGTCAATATCAAAACAGGTAATCGATTTTGGCCACCGGGCAAATTCCGTAATACAGTCTTAGTGTCATCTGCAGTGTGAACGAGAATCTTCTGCAAACACTGGAAATAATCAGAACTCTTTCAAACTAAGGATAATAACACTTCACGGATGGAGTAGCTCTATATATGAAAAAGGCTTCCTCAATCCTGTGATACACAGTGGATATGGCCATTAAGATATTTTATATTATTTATTTGAGAAGTTCAGCTTTCATTCTCACCATCTTATTCTGTACTTCTCACCTTATCTTTTATTCAATTTTTCGGCGGTCGAATTAAACCAAATTCTATTGTTCACATTAAGTGATCAGATCGATCTGGTTACTGAATCTCGGCTTATTTTTCGTGGACTCGAATGTGGTCTGAATGTCCTGGACATTTAGTGAAACTTTCACCTGTTAGAATCTATAAATATTTGGAGAAGAATACTGTTTCCTACCAAGGCATAGCGATGAAAATACACATTTTGTGGTGAGAGGTGGCTGCCAGCGAAATTGGTAGATAGTAATTTACGTCAATGTTTACGTCTCCAATATTGGTCGTGAGAAAAATAAGAACAAAGACGGATTCAACAACCAGCCACAGCAGACTTTGCGTAGGCGGATACAATTTTCAGATAGATTATCTGAACTTCAATAAATGGCCACATAGAGATGAACAATGAACATTCATCGAGGAAGCACCAATCAAAAGACTTTGTTTGTTTGCTTACAATAATCTATAATAATGTACATGAAAATCTATAAATATCTGTTGATTTCCTAAATAAACGATCTGTTACCTGGCACTTGTCTTCTGTCGTTACAATAAGACCGCATAGTTTGAGAATCAGTCACCCATAAACTGAGATTAGGAGTAAAAGACAATCACAAAGTACACAATCGGATGTTATCACAATAATTTCTATACTCCTCACCTGGTGAGTCAAATTCAACAATCACCCGAACACCATGTAATCGAGCAAATTCTACCAGTGAATCAATTTCATCCTTTTCATACACATACGAATGTGGATGATACGCTCCCTGAAAATACAGTCATAATAAAAATTGGTGATCATGCATTTGACTGAGAATATCTCACCTTTGAAGACAATTCAGGATACACTGAAGAAACATACGGGAAGGATTCATCATCTGTCATATGCCAGTGTAGCACATTCATCTTCACCATTGATAATGCAGCCTTTCAATTTAAAAATTATAAGTTACATAACAAGAGCAGGAGGTGGAAGGCAACTTACAATGACATTCTTGATTGTTTCAACGCTGAGATAATGTCTGGCTGTATCAATCATAATTCCTCTGTGTGGAAATCTTGGTGAATCTCCTATGCTACACTCATCTATCGAATTCTATTATCGTGAAGTGAGCAAATTTCTGTACTGTACCTTGTAGTTCTGATCTCTGAACACCAGTTGCAGGACTGTTTCCAAAGCATGTAATGCTCCCCATATTTCATCTGATCGAATATGGATGGTACCACTGGAGACATTCAAAACATCTAGATGAGGAAATTCCCCGTGTTTTTAGACTCCTAAATTTCTTTTCACCTACATGATTCCTTCATTGAATCAGATGGCCATAATTTTCCATTTTCTTCATTACAGCCTTCAGTAATATCAATTTGAATAGTGGTCACTTTGCAGGAATCTGGTGAATGAGCGTTAATCCACTGTGGTACTTTCTCTAGACGTAATGCAAAACGTTTTAATGCATCCTCTAAGATATAGCACGAGTTGTAGTTATGTTCAACACTCAGAGATCTGGTGATTCCGCATTCGTAAAATTCTGAAGCATATTGTTTCGCTTTGGGGATTAAACACTCTGAAATTGTAATGAACCATAGTAATAAGAATGAGTGGATCAGGATCCTTTGTGCAGGTCTCATAACTCAGCTGGGTTGGGATTAAGTGAGTGAAGTGATCAACGTGCTCTTTCGAATCTATCTGTTTTTCTAGTTTTGGTAAAGGGGTGAACATTTTATACTACAATTTGATGAAATCGCCATTTTAGGATCATAGTGTCAATATTTCGAGATGAATGTACACTTGAAGTGGACTTTGCATTGGTTTGTTCAAAGTGGCATGTTTTTATTTAAACACGCAAATTCACAAAGAATTCGAAAAAAAGAAGTATCGATCATTTGCTGAAAAATTAATCAATAACTTGCAGAACTCATATGAATACCAAAGAGATCAAAGTATTATGTTATAAAAAAATGTTGTAGATGAACAAAGTCGAGAAAACATTTATGAAGACTGTCACACAATGATAAATTACTGATTGTGTGTGTTGCAGAGAACATGAAGAATCCACATATTATCTGAAACGTTTATGTGAGTCACTTGGTTTAATTACATTTTGATGAGCTTCCATTGTGGTGAATGTTGAATATAAAGTGACGTCCTTGTGGACTAACACAATGTGATTTACCTCAGGGTTATATGATTTAGTTGACCAGAGGTCAAAATTAGTTGTTGTATGCCATTGTCTATCCTATTATCAGACCATTTGCTGAATGAACTTCGAGAACCTTTAGCTAACCGAAAGTCATAGAAAAGGTCTCCGATGTGAGTTCTAATGATTTCTTCTCTAACTGTTGCATTTTTTTCCTACGCATTAGTGTATTCAAACGATTACGTTTGAGTTCATCATTCCTGGTTATATTTGACGTTCCAGTGGACTAACTTTATTCTTTCTGAAAGTCTCTTTTGTAATAGCTTGAGTATGTATCACATGTAATACATCTTAAAATATTTCATATTTATTTCGCTCTGTGCTATTTTGATGTTTTGAGTGTCATAGACTCTTCATAATCTGCGTAGTACCTGTTGCGTTAAGTCGCGATTCCACACAAAATGAAACTAATCATATAAGTTGTTGAAAATGCCTTCTGCCTTTGCATGTTTGAAAATTATAATACCAACAAAGCAGTTTAAAATGACGGTATTTAATACGTAATCTACCTGAATTATGGGCACTCTTTAGAGAACACAAATAGAAAAGTCTCTGTTATCTGAAGAAGAAGTGCTCTCATGAGCAATACACTTAAGTGGAACAAAATGTTAAGGCTATTTGAAGAAAGGATTTGAGGTTTTATAGTAATAATTACCATTCGGTATTGTTCCCGTGGATTTTGAGTGGAACATGGGGTTACAAAAACACATCTCCACTTTGTCCTATTTTCCCTGGTCCACTTTAGCTGGCCCGACGATTGCGCATTTTCTACCATTTCTTCCACGTACGGTTTCCATTATTTCACTCCAGAACGAACGCTATGTACGCAGTGTATTTCGACGGTCTCCTCAAATTATGCCCGATCAATCCATCTCCATTTTCTCTCAAATATTTGTTGAACAATCTTCTCTTGATTGGTTTGTTGCCAGACAGAGTTTCTTGTTGCTAATTCTTTCTCTCCGATTTTGGTGTGGTTGTGTTCTCTGAGCTGGATGGTTTGGTTGCGAAGCTTTCATTGCTCTACTGAGCAACATCTTCAGCGCATACTTCGATGTGAAGTGAGCTTTTAGAATTCTCTATGAGTTTATTAGTCATCCCTTCTAGTGACCTTGAACGTGATTGGTTGTTTTCGTGTGACATTTCATCCCCTAGTTTGCTTGTCTCGGTGCTGGCTGCTTCTTTGGTCTGAATGTCGTTAGTCATTCCTTCTGCTAACCTTGAACGTGATTGGTTGTTTTTGTGTGACTTCTCACTTTCTAGTTCACTTGTTTTGGTGTTGACTGTTTCCTTGGACTGTTTCAAGGGACACCTATGGGATCACCCATATCAGGATTGATTGCGGAAGCCGTCATGCAAAGACTGGAAAACATAATTCTGCCAAAGATCAAACCGAAAATTTGGATACGCTACATAGATGATACATTCGTGATAATCAAAAGAGAAAACTTAGACAATACCCACAACATAATAAACGACACCTTCAACGACATCAAATTCACAGGAGAAGAAGAATATGAAAACAAAATCCCATTCTTAGACGTCTTAATCAAACGAACAACTACAGGAAAATTAGAAACCCAAGTATACAGAAAACCAACGCACACGGATCAAATACTCAATTACAACAGTAACAACCCAACATCACACAAAATTAGCTGCATACGTACATTGTTCAAGAGAGCCAGGACTCATTGCAGCACTCCCGCCTTGAGGAAAATTGAAGAAAATCATCTTATGGACGTCTTCCAAAGAAATGGATACCCACGAAACTTCATCAAAAGACATCTACCCCCAGCTCAACCAACCAAATCAAAGGCCACCAGCGAAAACACAAAGAAAGTCGTCCTACCATATATAAAAGATATCTCCGAAATCACTGCAAGACTATTCAAACCTTTTGGAATCGATGTCGCTCATAAACCAACAAAGTCACTACACTCAGTTCTATGTAAGCCAAAGGACTCAACGGCAAAAGAAGACAAAACTAACGTCATCTACAAGATAAATTGCAACGACTGCGACAAACATTACATTGGTCAAAGTGGATGCCCTCTTCGTCTTCGCATTCACGAACACAAACTAGCTGTCAAAAGACACGACATACACTCCCTCATATCACTACATGCAGACAACCACGGGCACCAATTCGACTGGGACAATGTTCAAATCTTAGACAAAGGGAACTGCAAAAATGCCAGAGAATTCCTAGAGGCCTGGTATTCAAATGAATCAGCAATCAATAGACACATAGAGATTGACAAAATATACCAATCAATACGAAGAAATTCACACAAAAACAAAGTCAAACTTCAGGTCAAGGAAACAGTCAACACCAAAACAAGTGAACTAGAAAGTGAGAAGTCACACAAAAACAACCAATCACGTTCAAGGTTAGCAGAAGGAATGACTAACGACATTCAGACCAAAGAAGCAGCCAGCACCGAGACAAGCAAACTAGGGGATGAAATGTCACACGAAAACAACCAATCACGTTCAAGGTCACTAGAAGGGATGACTAATAAACTCATAGAGAATTCTAAAAGCTCACTTCACATCGAAGTATGCGCTGAAGATGTTGCTCAGTAGAGCAATGAAAGCTTCGCAACCAAACCATCCAGCTCAAAGAACACAACCACACCAAAATCATCCACCTGAGCTACAAATCTTCTCTATTATATCTTTCTCTACGGCCAGCTGGCCATTTGATCTTCACTATGGAGTCATCAGAGGTGGCAGCTGTTGATAAAAGTCTGCTGTGACCTGTTCAAAATCCTTTTTGTGACACTCAGTGCAAGTTCCTGACCCATATAGAAGAACTGACTGACTTCACATTTGTGTTGAACAGAATCCGAATATTGTTTTTTACACTGCAGAGTGCAGAAGACTTCCAAACTGGTTTCAGATTGATGAAGGCGTATCTTGCCTTTCCTATTCTGCCCGACAGGCTTTGACATTTTCCTCCGATGTGAACTCATTTCGATCCGGCTGCCTTCTCGGACTTCAATGGCTTGATTGCATTCAAGTTTTAGAAGTTTTTTGTAAGATTGGTGTCCATTGGCAGTTTTGTTCTTACTGTTGACGGTATTTCTGGACGAGTTGCAGGTAACAGTCAATACAAGAGTCATTAGAAGTGATAAGCCCATTGTTCTGTTTGTCTCTCCTCTTTGGCAATTAGGTTCCCTTGACTACCTTTCCTTAGTTTCATCCGCTTTGATCTCTTCCTGGATAGACACCTGGTTATTTGATATGATATTCTGAGGAAGAATAAAATGTTGAGGCTATCCAATGAAAATATTTTAGAACTTATCTGACCAGTATAGCTGAGCTAAAGACTCTGATGTGTGTTACCAGAACAAAGGAGGGGCTTGAAATTATGTCTGGAACTAGTGCGATGTGCCCGTTAAAACAATAACCAAAACACCTAAAGTATACGCAGTTGCACCGGACATTTATTTAGCTGAATTTAACTTGGTTCCGTCCGATCCATTTATTTTAGTTCTGTGCTTGCTTTTTATTCTTCAGGAGGTGTAATCCACCATAATTTTGTTTAGATTCGCCTGAGGAGTCTGTCAACGCAGGAGGACTGCTGTTCCCCTTCTCACTGTCAGGCAATGCAAGATTATCTCTTGAATAACTTATTGGCCTGGAAACACAGTCAACTACCACAGGAATGAGAAGTGTTTTTCATGGCTTCATCAATGCAAATCTGAGCTACAATCTCCCTTTGCACTCTCCCATTTTCTCTGACAGTGTCAAAGAAACCAAAGTCTAAAACTACAAACAAGAATGTGAACAATGCAAGAACAGCAATTTGAGCACGATTATATGTGGTAGCATTAATTGTTTCATTTCAGCGGTTCTTGTCAGCTGCCTACTGCCTTAAACAGTTTAAGTGCTACTCTGCGAAATATCAGTAAAGTTCATTTAGAACCGAAAGATACATGTTGGTTAGTGGTGTGGGAATTAACAACACATTTTACCTAAGTGTTAAATGATTTGGTTGAGCATAGGTCGTTGACTTTCTTATTATTCGACTGACGGTCAAATGAATTTCTAGAACCTTCAGCTAGCTAAAAGTCATAAGAAAGGACTCCATTATGACTTCCAGTGAAATGTCCTCTAATTGGTGCATTTTCTCTGATCCATTAGTGTACTCAAACACTTAAGATTTGGTTCAGCATTCCTGGTTACAATTGTCTAGAACGACTTCGTATCTCCCCCAACTTTCGTATTGCATATTCCACCGACTCATTGGCGATAAGAACAATTCATGATTGGCTTCGGTTCTCAAAAGTCTTTATTTGTACCAAGTCATTCTTTGATTCTCAAAGAAAAAGGCAAGGGAACAACACATCATGAAGTTGGAAAACGATGAGGAAGTGTTGTAAACACTGCAGAAATATCTCACGAATCTCCGAAATCATGGAACTTTATAAGAATGTGGTTGAATCATTGTGTCATCTATAAATATCTCCATTTCGTTCCCTGAGATTTCTAAACTGGAAGTGATCGCCATTTTGGATGTAAATATATTCATCAAAGGAGAAGCCTCGTTCACAAACATTGCCATTATGTTGCATGAGAAGGGGAAAGACTTTAAGATTAGAATAAGTGTGAAGTAGTTTCCCTCTGAACAGTTTACGACGCCTTTGAATT